CCCATGTGACCGACCCAGCGCGGCGGCAGCGGCACCGCCGAGCGGGCAGTGCCCGGCGCAGAGCTGCGGTAAGCGGTGGACAGGGGTGCCTGTGCTGTAGCGGGGTTCCCACTGTCGGGAGGCTCCTTGAAAGTGAAGGGCCGGTCGCCTCCCGGAGCCTGGAAAAGCACGGCTTGTTCTGCGTTGGGTAGCAACGACTTGATCGTTCCGTTAGGGGCATGCATTGCAAGTAGTGGAAGACTCTGCAGACCAAAGGAGCTGCTTAGTGTCTAGTTTGTACTAGAATATTAGAGTTGGCACCTAAAGCAACATTTAGTAAGTGGTGAAATTTGTTTTAGCGTGTTAACTTGGAAATTAAGCAAGTCAGTTGATGTTGGCAGTGCGTTTGATCTTAGCTGGTTAGTAACCAAAGGGCAGAAGCAACTTTTTTGTATTATATAGACATAGGCCTACATCTTGTCGAAGATGGAAAGTTTTTTTTTAGGTTTCCTCTACGTGGTTCAGGCTTTCTTCTAGTTCCCTTGACTGATGTGTTTGGCTGTAAAACTGTATCAGAATAAGTGTGAAGCCGTGTTGTAGCCAGAAAGGACGCTATTTATACCTGGTAGGTGTTACAAAGCTATAAAGAGTACAGCTATTTATACGTAGAAGATTAGGTCCTATGACCACCAGCAGACAAGATGAGTTTTGCTTGTTTACTTTCTCCTGGTTTTGGTTTACTGTGATCCCAGAAGTTTAGTTTAGCTAAAGGTACCTGTCAGTTGCAGTTGCAGTACTAGGGAAGCATAAGTTTACTACTTGAAGTGCGAGCTCTGTTAATTAGAAGCATTTTTATTTCCACTGTAACAAATTCACTTTTGGCATATTTTACTTCTAGCAAGTGTCAGCCGTCAAATATCTCTTACTGTCACAGTTTCAGAGCAGGACAACATTAATCCAATGTCTTCAGATGACATATGCACAGCTTCTACTAAATTTAAATTTTAATGCAATACTATTACATGTCCTCAATTTGTAGCAAATGCATTATTACTGTGTTCCAGTTTTATTGCCCTTGGGAATCCAGGATTTGGCGGCTATACAGTTTTCTACTAACCTTGCTTTGCAGAGGTTAACAGGCAGTGAAGGTGAAAACCTTATTTCTAACGTGTTTGGCACTGAATGCCTCTGGGAAGCTTAGAAGTCTTGACACAACTTGATTAGAGAATTTTGGTTTTTTTTCTCTTGTAAATGTGTAAGATTTATAATAGAATATACTCAACAGTTTGGAGTTGTTAATGTTATCTTCCTTGAAAGAGTGTTGTGAGAGTAAGTACTGCTAATGTGGAATTAGCCTCAAAATGATGTGAGATAAGCACTGAAAAAGCAGGGCTTTTCTGCTGAAGTCTCTTGGCTCTGCTGGAGTCCTGCAAAAATAAGCTATGTTGTTTGCCAAAACTGTTTTGTGGGTATGAATTTAGTCTTATTCTTCATGTCCCTATTAGTGCTCAGAGGGTAGTACTTAAGGAGGTTTTTTTAGCTGTCAAAATTAAATTAGCCTTCACACGTAGTTCAGTGCTCAGCAGGTATATTATTTCTCAGTACTAGTATGATGACACTTGTCTTAAAGGTTCATAATGATGTTACTTAGCAATAAATTGTGATCTTGCATGGTATATTAACGTTCATATAACCCTCTTTAACCACGATGATATCACTTGGTGGGGCAGGGTGAACAGACTTACAATTCTTTTTGTTCTTAATACTTTTAACCCTGTAATTGATTTTGGTGACATGCCAGCTCCTAATGCAGTTTTTTGTTTTATTTACAGCATCGAGATGACTCAGGAGACAAACCAGACCCCAGGGCCTATGCTGTGTAGTACAGGATGTGGATTTTATGGAAATCCTAGGACAAATGGGATGTGTTCTGTTTGCTACAAAGAACATCTTCAGCGACAGCAGAATAGTGGTAGAATCAGCCCAATGGGTAAGGGTGTGGGGAATTGTTGGGGGTTTCTTTATTTCTTTTGAAATAAGATACACAGAGGATTACAAGGAATACTAGAACATTTTTTAGGATAACTTCTGAAAAATAAACTAAAAGAGTTTCAGTTAAATTCAGTTTGAATATTCAAAGAGAATACTACTTTAATGCACAATAAAGATAAAAATAATATCTGTGTAATGTGTTGTGGTTTGCTTTCCGCGTATACTTTCCACAATAATGGCTTTCCCATTATAGCCACTTCTGTTAGAATTTTCTTATGCAATCTGTATTTTGGTTATTAAATAAAAAGCGTCTCTAAGTAAAAAGTAACAAAAGCAGTTGCATTGAATATGTTGTGCAGGCAGTTTGTGGCTGTATAGGAGACTATTTGATTAATGTGCTTTCTGCAATTTGTTCATAACTTGTCAAATTCTTGTTTCATAGGAACAACCAGTGGTCCAAACAGTCCTACCTCAGACTCTGCATCTGTACAGAGAGCAGACACTAGCTTAAACAACTGTGAAGGTGCTGCTGGCAGCACATCTGAAAAAACAAGGTAAAATTAAGATTGTACTGTGATGGCTGAATGAGCAGTGAGTGTGCGGGAAGGCCTGCAGCAGTCCTGCCCTGTTGCTGTGAGTGTCTGCAGAGGAAAAAGGACCTGACAGGGCTCTGTGAATCCATGTAAAGTGAAAAATCAGTCAAGTATTTGGTGTTGTAGTGCTGCAGTATAAAGAATGTTTTTTGTTTATGTACAGAACTAATTAGTTACAGACTTGCCTGTTTTCTTCTAGGGAAACTAAAACAGAATATAGAAGTGTGTTTTGAAGATAGTAGAAGCATAGATCAGGGTTGCATATTTGTAATGACTGAACCAGTAGTTCATTAATGGGTCTGGACAGTTCAAGGTTTTATTATGAATGTAAAGCTGATATAAATTACATGTTTCACTGTGCTTAAACAGAAACGTGCCTGTTGCTGCTTTGCCTGTAACACAGCAAATGACAGAAATGAGTATTTCAAGAGAAGAAGAATTGACACCAAAAACAGAGACTGAGCCAGGTATGTTATCCGATTGACACTGGGCACAACCAGGGACTTAACACAAGTGGAGGGTTTGTTTGCTTTCTGAGTAGCCATCTCCTGTTATGGTGGTGGTCTTAGGAAATGTGTTTAAAATGCATTTGAGTACTGTCTCCTCAGAATCAAGAATATGGCAAATCAAGAATCTCTGCAGAATGAAGAAGAACTACTAGCTGTAGTTCCACAAAAGCTTTAAAATATATGTTGTTAGTAAAATAACTGACACTCATGAGGGTTTTTAGATCCCTGACATTAGTTTTTAGAAGTGAGACACTCTAAAATAGTATTAGGGTAAGGTGTTCAGTTTTGAAGTCAAATTGTTGGGATTCACTATATTATCTAGCAGAACAGTTCCAGCTGACTCAAAATGTCTTATTGTGTTTGGAGAAGGGCGCTTAATAAATTCCATTCTACAGAGGAGTGAGGCTGTGGGGGAAGGGAGAATATGTGGTTTAGAAAAATAAACAGAAGTTGCTTAGGGTTCTTGAACTAATTGAGTCGTCCCTAGATATAACCAATGCATTGTTTCAGGGATGGTAGGTAGTTGCAGCTTTAATTGTGGGTGAATTGTCCATTTAACAGTTTTATTCTCATGCTGGATAGTTACAGCTGGAGTAGTGAAACTTCACTATTTCTGGGAGTGAGGCAGAGAGGGAGAGGCAGCTTGCTTAACCTAACTGGTGAACAACTGAATTCATACCAGTTTGTTCAAATGGTTATCTTAACATACTTGTTTTGTACTGTAACAAATCCAGACTTTATTTTATTTATCAGCTCTGAAACAGTTTTAAAAACTAAAAGCTGATGTAGTAGGAAGTCTGTTTACTCAAACTGAAGATAGAATCTATTTTTTTCGGTTTTGAAGTCATTGAGATGAAAATGGCATCAGAAAGATGCTACTAAGCACTGTATCAAAGTGATTTTTATATAATTCTATCTTTGCCAACAAAATGGTCTGATGCTTGATGTTTAATTGTCCAATATTTGTACAGAGGGTTTTTTACCATTTTCATAAGTCATGCTGAGTCAGGGTTCTGTGACATGAACTAAAGTACAATTATACTTTTTTCATTATGTATGGACTAAAAGGGAATTTTTGCAGTTATTAACTTTCTGTAGCTGATATCATCTGAAAAGGCTTTTGTTATGTGACTGAAAAGTAATTTTGACTTTGCAACAGTATTCATTAACCCGTTGTGTTAGGAAATTCTACTGGAATGCATCAAGAAGGAAATAGGAAATCATAAAACAGTAGTAGTGCAGCAGTAATAGGTGATTTTACTTTTCTTGGAACAGTTGTCATTTTGCCAGTCATAAAGAAGGTCTTTAGTTATTGTTGATACATAACCTGTTTTTCAGGTACTGTGGGTCAGCTGTATGATAGGTCACACAACTGACTATCAATGAGAATAAGGGAAAAAATCCAGAGCAGCTCAGAGATACTTAGGAATTGTAGTAAATGATCTCACAGGTTGAAACCAGTAAAAGCTGTCACAGGCTTGTGTAGAGATGTTTTGAAATACTACCAGAAAATTTAAATACTTGTGGAAAAAATGTGAAGAACTAACTGCCTTCTGAGAGACCATACCTGTAAATTCATGAGGCAGCTTCAGCTGCTCTAATGCCCAAGTTCCCTTTTGAGCATTATTGTTTGGCACAGATCCTAGACAGCATAAAATAATGTCCTTATATACTATTCTTAGGATTTGTTGAACATCTTAAATTAGCAGTGTTGACTATATTTAGTAGTGCATTACTGTGTGTCTTGCAGGCACAAGAGAAACTGACCTAGACTTTTTATAAAAAAATATTCCTGGTGTATCTGGACGAGGTTTTTTTTCCATTTTGTGTTGGTCTCCCAAGGACAAACTAGAACATAGTAAATAATTCTCATCACCTGGAGCAGCAAAAGTTATTACTATCTTTGAGGTGTGATTCTCTAAGATAATGCAGTCATGGAGTTGTTAATGAAATACAGTATAGCTGATAGCTTATCCTGACACTAGGGACAATTTCATAACCAGATGGTAATAGATCATGAGCTATATCTTCAAGAGTATGAAGTCACATTCTCTTCTGCCAGATGTTCATTAGCAAAAGAAATTTTGTATGTTTCCCTTATGAATCAGAATGTTTAAAAGAAGGGTTTAATGTGGTAACTGCTTATTTTTTTGCAGTCTTGTAGCATAAAACTATACTTCTTTGCTTTTGGAATTGAAACAACTGATGAGAACGTAGAGAAATTAAGAAAAAATTAAGCTATGAAGCTTGACAAGCTTGTTTCTTTTGATTTTGTTGGGATTTTGGTTTTTTCTTCTTTGCTCAGGTTGAGGTTGCAACCTAGATTCACCTTCAGAGCAAATCTGGTGCTAACACAATTAATTGTACATTAACATCTGAAGAAAGGCATGGTAGACGGTAACTTCGTTGTAGCTCTCATGGTTGTTTTCTTTAACTTGTAGTGGACTGAGTCTGACTGGTTGCCAGGCACACACCAAATCCTCTCTATCACTCCCCTCCAGAGCTGGACAGGGAAGAGAATATAAAATCAGGGGTTAATGGGTTGAGATAAGGATGGGAAGAGATCACCAAATACCATCATGGGCAAAACAGACTAAGTGATAGTTTATCGTTAAAAAGATCAGAATAGGATAATGAGAAGTAAAAACAGACCTTAAAACCTTTCCCCCACCCCTGCTTTACACACCCCGCAGCTCTGTACCTCCTACCCCAGTGAGGCCAGGGAATAAATGTGGGTTGTGGTCAGTTTATCACCTGAGGCTCCTACTGCTCACAGAGAGGAGTTATTGCACCTTGCTGCACCAAGAAGTCGCTCCCACTGAAGAGAGTTCTTCCATGAACTTCTTCAGCATGAGTCAATGTCATGAGCAGCAGCTCCCTGAGAACTGCTGCAACGTGAGTTCATCCCATGGGCAATGGCACCCCTCAAACTGCCACAGTATGGGTCACTTTTCCATGGGGTGCAGTCCTTCAAGGACAGCCTGCTCCTGCATAGGAGCACGGCTCCTCTCTCCACAGGTCTCCCATGGGGTCACAGCCTTCCTTCAGGCATCCCCCTGCTCTGGTGGGGGGATCCTCCCTGGCCTGTGGGTGGATCTCTGCCTGCCTGTGGATCTCCAGGGGCTGCAAGGGCTTAGCTGCTGCACCACAGGCTGCAGGTGAATCTCAGCCCCAATACCTGGAGCACCTCCTGCCTCTCCTTCCCCACTGACCCTGGTGTCTGCAACGTTTTTCTTCTCACATGTTCTCACTCCACTCTTCTCTGGATGGAATTACAACTGTGCAACAACTTCTGTTTTTCTTTCTGCTTAAATATGTTACCACAGAGGTGTTGCCACCATTTCTGGTTGGCCACAAAGGGGCACACCCCACTTTGGAGTTACCAGAGATTGGCTCTGCCAGACTTCGAAGAAACTTCTACCATTTTCTGAGAGAAGTAACCTCTGTAGCCTCTTGCTACCAAAATCAGGCCATGCAAAACCAATACACCACTAAAAATCCATGTTTTTGAAAACAAGTTTATTTAAACAATTGTATTGTTTTAATGCGTAGCATATTATTAGCATTTTTTTAGACCTTTTGCAGGTGAATACTTTGCTGAATGGTCAGCCTCTAGTCAGGTCTGTCAGTGTTTCCATACATAGTATCAGCACTGGCTCAAGGGACTAGTACTTTCTGTGGTTGTTTGTTGCCGTTATTTAGGGATTTTGGAGTTGGGTTGGGTTTTTTAATGCAGCGATGCTCTTGTTTAGCAAGTAGTGTTACATGCAAGTAGTATTGCTTATAAAAAAGTGAACCAGAAATTGAACTGATAATGGTATTCTGTAAATTAAGTATTTTAAAAATGCTTAAATACTGGTAACTTCCATCCCTGCTGTAACCTACCCTTTCATTCAGCTACAGCAGCATTAGAAGACCAGCAGGCGATGGTGGTTGGCACCTCTTTGCTTTCTATCAAGCTCTTAGGGTTAAGAGCTCTTCTACAGCTGTTAGGCATTGCAGTTGAGAGACCCTATAATGGGTTACTCTTGCTTTGCTATGTTGTAGGTAGAGCCAGTGTGTTGCAGGTAATACTGTGAGTAAGATGTAAGTATGGTAGCTTGAGATCTGATAAGATCAAAATGTAAGTACACGGTGTTCCTTAAATCTGGTTGTAATGAGTGCCTTGTTAGTTGTGGTTAGTTTTCACACATGGCTGTAAGTAATTTCATCATGTTTCTCTCTGTAAACTGTTCTGTTGAATTAGTAACATTTTCTGATATGATAATTCTGTATTGTGTTCAAAATAATTAGCTTTTCTTCATGTTTCCCATGTCCGCTGCAGCTTTGGTAAATGCTCCTGATTGAAAAATTTAAGAAATGAAATCTCTTGTAAGTCCTGAAGCTGTCCACTGCATACAGAAAAGCTGAGGACCTAAATGCTGGTGCTGTGTGTTTTGGTGATAGCACATTATTATTATTCTAATAGTGATACACCACACATGTCAGGTCTTCATAATAACCAAATTAAACTGTGTTTCTGTGTGATACTGAAACCAAGGAATCTTAATGTTGTGTTAATGTGGCATATTAAATTAAGACATTAAATACACAAATACATGAGTTAGAGTTGGACTTGCAGAATGTGAGTGGCATGCTGCAGAACATTTCTGTTTCTGCTCTTCAGCATGAAAGAAAGCATGATGGAGGTTTGTTCTGCAGCCTTCCATCACTGGCACCTAGGTCGAAATAGCAGTTGTAGTTCCTGAGCAAAAGCTTGATAAAGCATTACAGGTACTGCCCATCTTTCTAGACTAAAATTGTATGTACAAGCACTTCAGTGTCATAGATTAACCCCATCTGGCAGCTAAGTACTGTGCAGTCACTCACTTATTTCTTGTTCCCCAGTGGGGAAGACGATTACAGGGGGAAAAACTAAACCCTGTGGGTTAAGATAAAAATAGCTTAATAATTAAAGTAAAATAAGCAATACTGTTGACAATAACAATATAATTGTAATGAAAAGAGGGGAAAGAAGAATAAATCCCAGGAACTTCACAAGTGATGCATGCTACATTTGGTCAACATGCCCCTATTTATATATTGGGAAGGGTGTTCTGTTGTGTGGAATATTCCTTTGGTTAGCTCATTCTGGTCAGCTGTCCCAGTAATGCTCCCTCCAGTCTTTTTGTGTACTTGTTTGCTTGCAGAGCACATGACACTAAAAAGTCTTTGTTTTAAAGTAAAAGCACTATTTAGCAACACTTAAAACATTAGTGTTATTAATACTATCAGCATTATTCTCATACCAAATCCAAAATACAGCAGCATACGAGCTCCTGAGAATAAAACAACTCTATCCCAGCTGAAACCAGGACAATTGTGGTAATGTGCAGTATGAGGATGGTATTGTTTCTACTACTTCTCCTACTACTGCTATTGTTTCAGCTCCAGAACAGCAGAAATGCATCTAATGTCTTTTAGATAACTTCTGACTTTACCTTTTCTCCCTTGTTGTGTTTTCCATTTCTTCAATGGTAGGAGTTGGCAGTTAGCTTTATCAAGTCATGGTCCTTAAATCAGTTTTTTTCCCCTGTGCTTTTAAGAATTTGTGCCGCTGTTATCTGTGAAGTTTAGGGTGCTTAAATCTAATTTTGCTGAATTTTTCTTCAGTCAGAGAAGCTTCTAAAACCTTACTCTGTTACTTTTGTATCCCTTTCTGGTCACTTTTGATATGGGGAATGTTAGAAAATAGTACTGATTTATTTTCAATGTATCTTCTTCAACTGAAACATCAGATTCATTCCTGTCCAGTGTGAAATCTGTAATACTGGTAAGATACATGCTTTTTTTTTTTTTTGAAGCAGCTGTACTGTTATATATAAGAAAAACTACTGACAGCTTTGAGCATTCTTTCTTAGAGTGGTTTTTAATTTTGAGTGGCACTCCTATGGGTCTAAGAGGAACTTTATTCCCAGCTTGTAGAACCTTTTTGCATACAGACTGAGTTGCTATTGTGCTTTGTCATGTGGCTGACTGGTTCTATCGGTGGCCTTGCTGTTCCTCTCATAAAGATGTCTTATCTTTAGGCTAAATTTGAAGGAAAACTTCCCAAATTTATGATGACATGCATGCATGTAGACTTATTCAGGCATCCACTTCTAGTAGAGGATTATATTACATTAATTTATCATTGATTTGCTAGGGTAATAGTGATTGTTGGGCATGATGGTAATGCATCTTTATAGTGCTTACAGGCAATCATTTAAGACCAAAATATTTGTTAATAAAAGCCAGTTCTGGAGATGAGTTGTTCCTAAAGTTTCTGGCATTGTAGTAGGAGACCTGATCTGGTAAAATTTGAATGAAGTAAATCTTTGCAGGTCTTGAGCCAGAGATGGGAGTGGACATGACCAAGGTGATGGAGAGGGCTACACAGAACCACAGAACCATTTGGGTTGGAAAGGGCCGTATAGATCGTCTAGTTCCAACCTCTGTTCCTGTGCATCACTACTCTTAAAGAATTTCTGTCTAACATCTAATACAATTCTCTCTTGTAATTGAAAAATTTTTCCTCTGGTCCAGTCACTATCTGCCCATGTCTGAATCTATCCCTCTGTTTTACAAGCCCTCTAAGCTTGGAAAGGCTTCAATAAGGTATTCCTAGAGCCTTGTCATCTCCATGCTGAGCAAACCCTTCTTTCTCAGCTCAACTTCATAGGGGTGACACTTCAGCCCCCTGAACATTTTCATGACCCTCTTCTGGTGCTAACCCATCAGATTGACATCTTTCCTGTGCTGAGTTCAGAACCCAGAGCTGGGTTCAGCACCCTAGATGGAATCTAAAGCAGAGTAGGTGCACAGGTCTTGAGCCCATTACTGAAGTTTTCCAGATCTCCCTGTCCCTCCTTCATGCTGAGGGAGCACTTAATCCTACTTTCTGTGTAACTGATTGAGATATTCAAGAGAGGGGTCCCAACACAGAGCCCTGAGGGCTCTGTCTCCACCTGGCTCACTAGTCTCCACCTGGACATATAGCCATTGACCACACCTCTCTGGCTATGTCCATACAGTTAATTCCTTATCCACAACATAGTCCATCCTTCAAATCCATGTTCCTGCAGTTTGGAGATCAGGATGAGAAAGCCCATGCATGCTGGTATGAGCTCTTTTACAGTGGCAAGAAATTTTAGTGGTGAGGAGTTTGCTTCATCTGAGCACTGTTACTGAGGAAGCAGGTCAACAGGTACAATTAGCCACTATTTTCCAGCTTTTGGCATCTTTTCAGCTACCCATTCTGTAGTGATAGATAAATCTTTAGAGCACTTGGATTAACACTGTGTGATTTCTGGCATGAATTAAATTTACTGTCTTGAGGACTGGAATTGCACTTGCCCAGTTGGATTTGTCTTTTGTGTTAAAGGAAGCCTTTTGTGACAAGCAACTGTAAGGAGAGTATTTTGATTTAAGTGGGCTCCTCATGTCATGGCAGAACAACTACAGTTTTCGGTATTTTTCATCTACAGGTTGATGAAAAAGGAGTTTTGTTCTGAGCTTTAGGGGACACAGTAGGAAGCTTTTTCTTCTGTCCTCACCATTACTCAGGAGCACATTTATGAACACTTAACATCATAAAAGCCAATCAGACTAAAGTCTGCTGGCATGAAATAATAGGAGAATCCTTTATTCTTGGAAAGTAATAAATGGAACATTTTAGTTTGTATTTAGGGAGCTATGTCCCCTCTTGTCCCCCCTTTTAGTGACCATTACTGCATGTTGTGTACTGCTTTTCCTCCTTGGAAGACGTTTTAGTTATGGGGGAAGGATCCTATTCAGCAGCCCTTTCAGGAAATGTGCTGCTACAGTTTCTGAGGATCACTCTCATCACTTTATACATTGTGGGCTGCCATTGTTGCAGTTTCTTGATGCAAAGATGGAAGTAATTGGTAACATTTTCCCTGGATTAATTTGTTCTCAGAGGCTGTGTTTTGTAGTAGAGTGATCTACTAAGCTGTCTTTTTGACTTGGTAGTTCCTAGGAAGTTGCTGTTTTAATTTTTGCTTCCTTGTTGACATTAGTTAGGCAGTGATATAAATGGTTCTTTTCTCATTTTCTCTTAGTGTATGTTGTAAATAATTTTGTCACTGTTCATTTGCCCCCCTCTACATTTTCTCTTGCACATGATTGAAAGAGCATGCAACATCATCAAATTTTTAAGTTTTGACATAGATGAAGCTTTCCCTTAGCTAACTACACACCAAATTGCAATGTGCATGTTTCTGGTTCCTCTTATTGATCTGTCTTGGCTCACATTAGCATTTCATTTTGAAACAAACTAGCAACATAACAAGTCTTTTAAAAAGAGGTTTGACTGTGCTTTTGGGGAGGTGTTTAGTATTTTTATTTTTTTAAGGCCATAGCTGATGGCTGTTGGTCAAGGTGCATAACATCCAACAGGTATACTCTGTGATATTGCTGGCTGTTAAACCAAACTTTTGTCACAGGCTTTTTGGTAGACAAACTGGTACTGAACACTGATTTTCTTAGGATTTAAGGACAAGTTCAGAGTGTCATATTTGTTCATGTTCAGATTTTCAAGATTTTCATCTTGAAAATCTTCATCAAAACAAATGGCTTTCACAAAAAACAAAGTTGTAAAATATCTGCGATGTGACAAAAAAGACAGGTAAATGACCTTGCTTATTCATTACGACTGTTGCTATAATACAGAAGTATAAGAAAATATTAGCAGTCATTTGTTTTACTGCATAAGATTTTTTGGTGATGGGCACTGAAGGGTCCCTGTTACTTCTGAGAGTTTGTTGCTTATAAGTCTTGTTTAGATTATGAAGTCCTGTCTGGGGCCTTTCTTGTTGTATGGTGAATTGTGAAGTTTTCTATGACAATAGAAGCACAATTTTAAAAAACAAGTACTATTCAAAAGAATCTCAACAAATCATATTTGTATGAAGTTAATTGCAAATACATCCTTGAGGCTTATATACTCCATTTATTATGAAATGTATTATGTAGTTAATAGACATGTGATAGATGTTATCATACACTGGGAGTGCTCAGCAAACTTGTACCAAGAGCAGGTATTACAGTTGTGTACAAGTGCATCTCTCAGCTTTCCTTAATTCCAGTTTTGGATATGAAGAGGATAGCAATTTTAAAAATTGAATTTTTTTGGGGAAAAACATGTTTTTCAATAAAACAGCTGTGTCTAAAGATGTTCTAAAGATGTCTAAAGAGGCAATTACAAAAGTATTCATTTTGACAGTACCTGCTTGAATACTGAAACTGAATAAATTACAATTATTTTACAAAAAAATACACATGCAATGCAAATCTGTACTTTATTATTTAAATGAAGGCTCTTTTGAACAGTGTATTTTGTAGCTGTGTTCTGGGTCTGTCACAGAATTAACTTCTTAGCAGCTGTCTTAGCTTCCTAGCTGCTGTCTTGGTGAGCTGCTTTAGATGCCCAACTTCACTGCAAAAGTGGCAGAACAACCCACTGCTATAGCAGGAACATATTACTGAATTTCATTTTTTTTCTAAAATATGTTCCTGTTAGTTATATTTCCTACAGAGGTTTGGTACTGTTTTAGATTTAAGCGTTGCTTGATCATATGATGTATTTAAATATGAAATGTGTACATGGAATTTCTGTCACGCTTTTCAAGCCCATAAAGGTATAATGAATAAGTGCCATATATTTTCTAGTTGGTTGAAATGTGGGGAAAAATCTGAGTATCTCAAGTAGAGTCCGAAGGGATGAATAAAGTACCTAAAAATCCTTATTTCTGATTCACATTTTTAGACCTAAGTTTATGTAGTGGGTGAATTAATCCTTAATGTATGCGTACTACTGGATACCTAGTGAAGTCAGGAAAAGCAAATGTAACCCTTATTTCCTTTACATGCTTTAACAGTTGTTACTCAACCAAGTCCATCAGTTTCTCAGCCTGGTACTTCAGAAAGTGAAGAGAGAGCTGCTGAACTGCCGAAACCAAAGAAGAACAGATGTTTCATGTGCAGGAAGAAGGTTGGCCTTACAGGTATGAGGATACTATCAATTTTAAACAAATTTGCATGATTTGATGAATCTACCTCTTGCTAGATAAAACTTGGCAAAATACATGTTCTGTTAAATTTAGCTGCTTCTTCACAATTCACATGATTAAGTAAACTTTTTCTTACTTTGTATGTCATAGTAGAGAGACGTATGCATATGTAGCGACTGCACCCTTAATTAATATCCTCAATTAAAACTAATATTCCTAGTAATGTTGCTTCTTTTTCTGTGTACAGGATTTGACTGCCGATGTGGAAACCTATTTTGTGGACTTCACCGTTATTCTGACAAGCATAATTGCCCATATGATTATAAAGCAGAAGCTGCAGCAAAAATCAGAAAAGAGAATCCAGTCGTGGTGGCTGAAAAAATTCAGAGAATATAAATTAATCTGCTTGTGAAAAGACTGACTGACTCTTTGTGGGGCTTTTTTTTTCAATACATCCTAAAAACATGAAAAGAGCAGGTGCATGGTCATTTTCCTTTGTTTTCCAGAGTTTTACTTCTAGTCCTGTCTGTCTAAACAATACTTCAAATGTTTGGGTGTTTGATACAGGCAGAATTGGATAGATACAGCCATTGAAAATATATATATGCCCTCCCCAGAATAGATGGATGATCAGAACCCTGCACAGGAAAACACATGCACAGAGACAGACTCTAGTTCACGTGTGCCAAACAGATGTATGCAATGTGCATGTGTGCAGCAGCTCTGCCTTTTGAGATGTGCATGAGTTGTTTAATGTTCGGTTAATGTTATATGCCTGTTTTGGAGAAGGATACATCAAAACAGTTGGCAGTCTACTTCTATCATTTAAAATCTCATTCTACTTTTAGTTGCCACACTCCATTTTAGTTTTCCAGCAGAATGCTGTGTAGATGGGTCTACCATCTCAGTAACGTGAGTGTCAATGCCATATTTAAGTCACTTAAAAACTGCACTGAGCAAAATGGAAAAATTCAGATACATATGAGAGGAAAATCGTTTTGTAAAAATTACATCAACTTTAGAATCTAGAAAAAAGTTCCCAAAGGAAATGTCCCGTTAGGAGCTTCTGAACTGGCCTGCAACAGAGTTGTCTGCTTTTCCTTGCATAGCTAAAAACGTTGTGTAGCACAATATTGTAAGACTGGTTTTCAAAAAACAGTTACAAATGTTTCTAGACATATCACATCATCTCTATCAAGCAACACGGGTCTAAATAAGTTGCTGAAATACTAGAGCAGTTTACTATTCATGTATTACTTATGTTCTGTGTGTTCCAAGTTCAGAAGAATATTAGGAATTAATTTTTCTAGTTTTAAATGTAACAGTTGCACCGTTCTGCATGGAAAACCATACCTAACATGGCTGCTGTAGACTTAAATGGTAGCTGGAACCACTCTTGGAGGACTGCTTTTATCATTTTTAATTGTACTTGGGTATAGGACTGTAGTGTTCTTGGGTGTATTGCATGGGCTGCGTTATCTGGCATTGTACAATAACAACTCTAGAAAAGGCAGTATTCTTCACTGATGCTTGTCTGGTAATATATATCACTTCTGTGTTATAATGGAAGGGGTTTTTGTGATGTATGAAACTTGGTTTTTTTATATAAACAAATACGGTTTAGACTAGTGTTGTGGTAATGCCTGTTCTCATCTGTAAATAGTTACATACGTACACAAGGCACTACTTCTGGCCTGATTTTTATTGCCAGTGTTCAGTCTTGGTTTTTACTTCACTATTAAAAGCGTCAGGTTTTTGCTTCTAACTTTGTTCTTCTGAGTTATTAGATATGCAAACATGTACAGATAGTTCATATTTATGTATTGCACATAAGCTACCCAGCATCTATGCTATATTGTATTATGTAAATAATAAAAATAATGTACAGAAGGAAATATTTCCTTTTATGGTAGTCCATTGGTTTTAGTTCTTGCTCTAATGAGAATGTGACCTTGCAGAGGCTCAAGTGCAAAGCTTAATGTAAGTTCTTACAGATGTTGTCTTATGTGTAAGCTTGCCCATGTCCTTATTTAGATATACCAGCTTTTTGTGAGACAAATTGCATAAGCAACTGGGATGCAGGTAACTACTTGATGACCTGACAAAAATGCCAGAAAACAATCATGTGCTTTAAAGGGAGAAAAGGAAAGTATTAGCAGTAAACTGCTAACTTGGTTCCGGTGTATCTGTCACGATAGAGCTAGTACACTGACTAAGCTGTTATACCTACGTCCTCACTAGCAGACCATGGCAGAGTTACTGTCTCTGTCCACAATCAAATATAGGAGGTAGAAGTGCCTGGTTTATCCTTTCCAGTGGGAAGGGAAAGGATATAGTACACCACATGTTGCAGTGGAGGAAGATGTCAGTACTGGATGATCTGTAAAATTTGCTTATATCAGAAATCAGTATCCCACCGGTCAGCTGGTGAGTTAATACTCCATACACTGTGTACCTCCAGTAAGGGAACCACAGGCATGCTTTGGGACTTCATCAAGGGACTGCTTTAAAGCACCAAAATGACAGTATTTCTACCTTTTGTATTAAAGCAACATCAGCAACTCCACTACAGCTTAAAGGTGATGTAAAGGTGTTGGTTTTTGTTGGTTTTTTTTAACCTGGGAATGCCCTGTAGATGGATGTTTGAGTAACTGTGGCCATTTCTGCTTGAAAGGGCACAGCCTAATATAGCTGAACCAAAGACTGATCTCTAACAGTATGAAGAATTGAGTTCTGTAGGATGCAAAATAGCAGAAAATCAGCAGTCTGTGATTTGATGTAAATTAAATGAAAATAGTGGTAAAGATGGGAGTACTGAAATGCAAGAATCAACACCTACAGTAGTAACCAAGAACACTGGCTTGACTTTTATTTGCATAGATAAACTACTATATTAAGAAAAAGTTGATAGTTGAAATTTCTACTGTTAGTTACTTCAGCTCAAACTGCCTTAGTGAGGTATCTGTCTTCATTAAACCCCCTTGTGGTGCTCTTCCTTTTCTCACTGTATCCACAGCCAGTTCACCAGCATTTATTTCCAAGCAGCAGTAAGCTTGCTTCTCCCAGTCTGAGGTTTATTCACTATGGAAAGAAAACAAAAAATAAATGGGATGATTGTATCTACTCTTGCACCTAAGCACAAGCAATGCAGGGTAGACCAGTAGTTGGACTTCGGTAATCCTTGTGAATCCCTTCCAACTCAATATTCTTTGTTTCTCTAATTATTGTGTGATGAGTCTCAGTCCAAGGCAGGTTAGGTGTCAGTTAACTGACAAGGTGTCTGAGGGGGTTGCAGGGTGAAGTGCCTCCCTCTTCATAGGCATTTTACAGGTTACTCATGACCTGTGTCAAGAGAAGGAACTTCCAGAACCCTGCTCCTTTCAAGTTCCCACTGGGATGCCTGTAAGTGCTAAATAACTACCAATGCTCTGTGATGTTATTTTTGATCCATGCACAGGTGACATTT